GGACCCGGCGCCGGGGCAGGGCAGCCAGTGCGACAGCCCCAAGCAGGAGAGCCCACCCCTCCCGCTGCCCTCCGCCGTGAAGGTAATGCCCGTGCCTCCAGATCCCCCGGGAGAGGGAACTAGCCCAGGGCACCTGGCTGCATCCAAGCCTGAAACCCACATGGATCTCCCCACATGTGCAGGAGGTCTGGGGCTTTGGCCTTAAGGCTGGGAATAAAACAGAGACAAACCTTGTCAAAAAGTGCAATTTGACTCAGTTTTTAGTGGTGTAAGGTGTCCTACTGCACATTGTGAGAGGTGATTTCCTGCACTGGAAACATCCCCTGGGGCTAGGAGCAGAAGGAGATACAAGGCAACAGTGAAATATATTGACAGGCTGAGAGAGTTGGGGCTGTTCAGCCTGGAGAAGAGAAGGCTCTGGGGAGATCTTATAGTGGCCTCCCAGTACCTGAAGGGGTTACAAGAAAGCTGGGGAGGGACTTTTCATAAGGGCAGTTAATGACAAAACAAGGGGAAATGGGTTTAAACTGAAAGAGGGGAGGTTTAGATGAGATATTAGGAAGAAGTTCTTCACTGTGAGGATGGTGAGACACTGGCCCAGGTTGCCCAGAGAAGCTGTGGCTGCTCCTGCCTGGAAGTGTTGAAGGCCAGGTTGGATGAGGCTTTGAGCAACCTGGTCTAGTGGAAGGTGTCCCTGCTGCTGGCAGGGGGGGTGGAACTAGATGATCTTTAAGGTCCCTTCCAACCCAAACCATTCTATGATTCTATGATTCTATTTGAAGCAAGAAGGGTCATCCTCCATCTCCCTGTGCTCTCCAGCACAACTGAGATGAGACGTGCCCCTGAGGGAGTCCCTGACACGCAGACTCAGCAGCTCTTGGAGCTGGAGTTGTCAGGGTGCTGGCAGGAGCTGCCCTCTCTCTGTCCCAGGCCTCTGGGATGTCAGGAGCTCTTCTCCCAGCTAATTCCTTTCCTTCTTGGACCAACAGTCCAAATCATCCAGTGAGAGCAAGAACCGTCACAAAAAGCCCAAGGACACCAAGCCCAAGGTGAAGAAGCTGAAGTACCACCAGTACATCCCTCCAGACCAGAAGGCAGAGAAGTCTCCTCCACCCATGGACTCTGCATATGCCAGACTCCTCCAGCAGCAGCAGCTTTTTCTGCAGCTCCAGATCCTCAGCCAGCAGCAGCAGCAGCAACAGCAACAGCAGCAGCACTTCAACTACCCAGGGATGCACCAAGGCCAGCTAAAGTAAGTGGCAACGTGCCAGTAGCAGGGTTTAGCCCTGTTTCCCTCCCAACTTTCCCCTCCCATGCCCATTTGTGCCAGTTCAAGGAGGATGACAGATCCATGCCAGTGAGACATAAAAGCTTGGGAACATAACACAGAATCCTGCAAAGCTGTTCTGACTTTGTGCACTGACTGGGGCACCCGTGACCTGCTGGTGGGTCACTGGCAATCTCCTTAGAGCCCGACTCGGTTTCCCTTGGATTGGTGGTCCTTCAGGTCTCACATAGGAGAGAATAGCCCCAAGGGAGCAGAGAGACAGTACACTGGGCACTGTCCCCCAGGGAGGGCAGACAAGTTACCCCAAATCTCCTTTGTTATTTCAGGCAATCAAATGAGCAAATGGTCAAAAGTTCAAATTCTTCATCAACTTGTGTCAACACCACCCCTCTTTCTCCTGTGAAAACCACCTTTTCAGGCCAGACTTGTGTCTCATCTATCAAGCCAGGCCCTCTGCCGTCTAACCTGGATGATCTGAAAGTGAGTGCAAACTTTGTCCCCGCAGGAGCAGAATCTTACAGCCTGAATGTGCTTCTCTACCCCTCAGGCGTGCAATGTAGTGCTGGAGGCTGAGCTGGCTGGGGGTGACCCGTGTTACAGCTCAGCAAACCAGAATGACCGTGCTGTGAGCAAACCCAGGAGTACATCACACCGGGTGGGGAACTGGTCACTTCCATGGTAACTGAAAACACAGGTTTGCTGCTCTGCAGGTGGCACGTGGGTGCATTGCTCCAGGGCTGTATCAGCAAATCTTAGGTAGAAAGTGAGATGGCTGCAGGCTGGGCCATGAGGGACTAAAGGATGATCTGTGCTGCTGCTCCTGCAGCCCACAGCTCCATACCTCCTCTGGTTTTATGGTGGACATCATGACTGCTACTAGCACAGCAGCCAGAAGCTAAGGAGCTCAGCATGGCCTCCCCTCGGTGACTCAGCTTCTCCATGGTCATTGCAGCGAGGTCCTCTCAACTCTCTGCAGTCAGGTATCTCCTGGAGCCTGCAGCTATGAGCACTGCTTTGAAAAGTGCAAGACAGGCAGGACACAAGGGAGAATCACTGACATCAACAGTTCTTTTATACTTCGCTAGTGGAGCCTCAGCCATGGGGAAGGTCATGTCCTTTTAAGAGCAGAGACCAGGGGTCAATACTCCTTATTAAAGAAGGAAATGAGATGAGGTAGAAATAACATAACTTTGGCCATAGTGATGCCCCAGCTCAGGTGCCTGAGCCATGTGCAGATGCCTGAAGATGGAGTATCTGGCTCCAAGGTACATGGTCACATAGTCTGAGCTAAATGTTGCCATCAGTTCCTGGTCTGTGTGAAAGTCTCTGCTCATGTAGAAATTTACTGCTAGGAAGGGAATCTTGGGTTCCCTCCATGGCCCAAGGACCACTGCTGGTTCATGGAGTGCAGTCACAGTTCCTGGAGGAAGAAGGAAGGTTTTCCTGCTAAGAAAGGTCAAGGTCCTGCAGGACATGCAATGGTCAGGGCTGTGTATGGTGACTGGTGACTCCAGGTGAGACAGTGGAGACAGTGAGCACCTGGGGTCAGAGCTTTAAAGCAGGAGACTGGGAGCCTGTGAACCCCGGAGAAATGTTGGGTTTCTAAAGAGCTTATCTGCCATTGGGACTGATGGTTGGTGACTTTCCTTCCAGGTGTCAGAACTGAGACAGCAGCTCCGAATACGAGGCCTGCCTGTGTCAGGTACCAAGACAGCGCTGATGGAACGGCTGCGGCCCTTCCAGGAGTGCGGCAGCAGCACGGTACCAAACTTCAGCGAGATCACCACCGTCACCTTCCCCGTCACTCCAACAAGCACCCTGTCGAGTTACCAGTCACAGTCCTCCACCAGCATGTTATCAAATGGCTTCTACCACTTCGGCAGCACCAGCTCCACCCCACCCATCTCTCCAGCCTCCTCTGACCTCTCCGTGAGTGGCTCTTTGCCAGACACATTCAACGACGGGCCCATGTCTTCTCCACAGTTCGGTCTCCAGCCATCTCCAGTTCATGGCAGTGCCGAAGAAAGCCTCATGAGCAGCATGAATGGCGGGAGCATCCAGCTGGAGCTGGAAGGGATTGACACAGAGAAAGACAAGATGCTGGTGGAGAAGCAGAAGGTCATCAATGAACTGACATGGAAGCTACAGCAAGAGCAGAGACAGGTGGAGGAGTTACGGATGCAGCTCCAGAAGCGAAAGAGAAGCAATGGCCTTGAGGAGAAGCAGCAGCCTGCTCAGCGTTTCTTTGGTGTCCCCATCAAGCAAGAAAACACAGTGTCCAGCTGTCCATTTGCATCCAAACAAACTGCCTTGAAAGGCCAAGCCAGCAGCTCAGATAAGTTGAGTAACTGTGGGGTGCCACAGCTGCCTCACATTGTAAATAGCCACTGCCTGGAGCCCGGGGGACAAAGCACCATCACCTCCTCGACATTCCTGAGCCCGCAGTGCTCCCCGCAGCACTCTCCACTCGGGGCTGCAAAAAGCCCCCAGCACCCCCCCCCCCCCCCCCCCCCCAGCCACTATCTCCTCTCAGTGTCCCCTGGCTCGCAGGCAGAAGGGCGCAGCGGGTCCCCACAGACCAACAGTTGCCTTCGCACAGCGCCGGTAAGTGGAGGGCACCCCAGATGGCATCGCCGTGGTGAACGTGCTGGTGTCTGTGGGCAATCAGCCAAACGTCCCAGTTTGAGTCCTTTCCTGTCAGACTGGGATTGCTGCAGGGTGGGTACCCAGGTGGCTGTAGCAGCATGTGGGGCTGCCTGAAAAGAGTAGCCCAGACGGACAACGAGTTGGAAGCTGGTGGCACTGCAGAGTCCTTTGCAGGGCATCTCCCTGCTGCCACTGCACCCAATTGCCCTGGGGACCCACAGCACAGCTCCCATACCCCATGGAGCCCTGGCACAGCTCCTCTCTTCCCCAGGGGACACCAGCACAGCTCTCTCTGCTCCTGGGTGAGCACTGGCACAGCTCCCTCTGCCCTGGGGAGCATTGGCACAGCTCCTCTCTTCCCCAGGGGACACCAGCACAGCTCTCTCTGCTCCTGGGTGAGCACTGGCACAGCTCCCTCTGCCCTGGGGAGCATTGGCACAGCTCCTCTCTTCCCCAGGGGACACCAGCACAGCTCTCTCTGCTCCTGGGTGAGCACTGGCACAGCTCCCTCTGTCCTGGGAGAGTCCTGGCACAGCTCCCTCTGCCCTGGGGAGCATTGGCACAGCTGCTTCTGCCCTAAAAGAGCCCTAACCCAGCTGCCTCTCCCCTCAGGGGGAGGCCCTGGCACAGCTTGCTGTGTCCCTGGGGGAGTCCTGGCACAGCTCTCCCAGCCCCATGGAGGCCTGGCATGGCTCCCTCCACCCTGGGGAATATCTGGCACAGCTCCCTCTGCCCCATGGAGCCCTGGCAAAGCTCTATCCACAGCAGGGAATCACCTGCACAGATCCCTCAACCCCTGAGAGAGCCCTGGCACATCTTCCTACACCCCTCGGCTTTTCAGCATCTTGCTGAGCCATTGCAGCTCCCAGCAGTGTTTGAGGGATTTTGGCCACTGGGTTGAAGGAGGGCAGTTACCCTGATCATACAGGAAGCCTTTTCTTGGGAAGACAGAGCAGGGCTTGCAATTGGGGTCTGCAGTCAGGTGGAGCTTGTGCCTCCCCACCAGGCAACCAGCACAGCAGAGAGTTGTCCCTTCAGCATCCACCACTCCTCACTCAGCCCTCTGGACAGGTACTGAAGTGGGAGAGGGGCACACGCTGCCAACACAAAAAAGCAGCGTGAGGTGCTGCTGATCGCAGCCCCAGTTCATCCCAACACCTGACCAGGGCTTTTCCCAGGCAGCAGTAACACCCATCACACAGTCTGTAAAACACACCCGGTGGTGCGAGGCATGTACATGGCATTCAGGGAAGATGTACAGCAAATACACTGTGCTGAGTGCACAACAGCCACACAGCAGAGCGGCAGCCGCTGCGAAACACCCCGTGCTCCAGCAGGGCAGCTCACAAATGGCAGTTAGCACACGGAGCAGTGGGGTGCAGGAGCTGGGCAGTGGGGTGCAGGAGCTGAGCAGTGGGATGCAGGAGCTGGGCAGTGGGGTGCAGGAGCTGGGCAGTGGGGTGCAGGAGCTGAGCAGTGGGGTGCAGGAGCTGAGCAGTGGGGTGCAGGAGCTGGGCAGTGGGGTGCAGGAGCTGGGCAGTGGGGTGCAGGAGCTGGGCAGTGGGGTGCAGGAGCTGGGCAGTGGGGTGCAGGAGCTGGGCAGTGTGCCACAGGAGCTGGGCAGTGGGGTGCAGGAGCTGAGCAGTGGGGTGCAGGAGATGGGCAGTGGGGTGCAGGAGCTGAGCAGCGGGGTGCAGGAGCTGGGCAGTGTGCTGCAGTGCTGCGAGGCAGCAGAAGGTGGGATGCAGCACTGTCTCGAAGCCATTCAGAGGAAGGTGAGGTAGCTGACATGGACAGTTGTCACACAGCACTGCCAGTGAGGTGGGCAACGGGGAGCGATTCAGGAATGAGAGGGGTGGAGAGACAGGGTGCTGCCAGTGGGATGGGCAGTGGAGTGCAGTGCTGTGGGGTGAGGCAGGCAGCAGGGCTTGCTGCTGGGGTGAGGGTGACAGAGCACTGGGACAGGCTGCCCAGGGAGGTTGTGGAGTCTCCTTCTCTGGAGACATTCAAAACCTGCCTGGACACCTTCCTGTGTGATCTCATTTAGGTTCCTGCTCTGGCAGGGGGCTTGGACAGGGAGCAGCAGCACACCAGGGACACAGAATCATAGAATGGTTTGGGTTGGAAGGGACCTTAAAGCTCATCTAGTCCCAACCCCCCTGCCAGCAGCAGGGACACCTTCCACTAGACCAGGCTGCTCAAAGCCTCATCCAACCTGGCCTTCAACACTTCCAGGCAGGAGCAGCCACAGCTTCTCTGGGCAACCTGGGCCAGTGTCTCACCATCCTCACAGTGAAGAACTTCTTCCTAATATCTCATCTAAACCTCCCCTCTTTCAGCTTAAACCCATTTCCCCTTGTTCTGTCATTAACTGCCCTTGAGCTCCTTCCTCGCTGCCCAAGTGCAAGGGCCATACAGAGGCGATGGCCCCACGGTGTCCTGCAGCTCATCCTGGCTGTGACACCACCCATCCTGGGCATTCTTCTGCTCTCTGCAAGGGGCTCCAACGGGCAAGCCTCTTCAGCTCCCTCGTCAGCAACCTCCCTGTCTGAGCATTAGAGAGATGTTCCCCCCAAGACAGAGATACTGTTCCTCCCAACCATCCCGCACAGAAAGGTGGCCAGGATGTGCACAGCCAGACCAAGTGGCATCACCGTTGCTCTCGATCCACTTCTGGATCCAACCCACTTGCCAGGGCCATACTGCATCCCCTGGCTGGCTCTCATGGGACAAGGCAGCTGTGGCCAGGCAGTGGGGAAGGGCACACAAGGTCCTAGAGGCAATGGGGACAGCAGCTGGCAGGCACTGGACCTTCAGATGAGGTCCCTCCTGGAAGAGGGGACTGACAAAAAGCCAGCACTGATGCACTGATGTTTGGCACCAGCACAGGGAAAGCCTCGGTGCTGAGCTGGCAATGACTCTCAGGTGACCTCCCCCAGCCTGGGCTCTGTGAGATGCCCCCGGAGAGGTGGCAATGGAGAGAGGTCCCTGCAGAGGGGCTGGGAGGCAGGTGGCAGCCAGGGAAGCGCTGCACTGCTGGCTGGGCACAGCCACCACCAGCAGCCCGTGTCTCTCTCCCTCTTGCTCTGCACGTTCACGGCTGGACTGATCGTCAGGATGCTCTGTGGCATCGTGTCTGTGCTCTGGCAGTGACCAGAGGTCAGCCTGGCCCTGGGCCTCAAAGTTAGGCTGACAGAGCTCGCTTACCTTCCTCTCTCCTGCCCAGAGTCGAGGCACTTTGTTTCAGCTGATTTAACCCACAACATTTTTTGTTTCCCTGGCTCCCCTCTAGCTTCAACAGGGGTGACAGGGAGCCGAGCCTCCCACCGTGCCTCCCTGGGCACTGACTCCATTTCCCTGTATTTCCCCCACACAGATTACTACGCAGGCAGGTCAAAAGTTTTCCATTCCATCCCCAAGTTTTTCTAAGTCAAGCCCAGCCCTCTCAGAGATAAAGCAGCCTCCACCCTATGAGGATGCAGTAAAGCAGGTAACTGCATGATTTTTATTTTCTACAGGGCTAGGGCTGTGCAGGGTGTTCTTTTGTGGTTAGTGTAACTCACCTGCAGGAGTAACAGCCCGTTATGGGGTCTCTGGACCTGATTCCATAAGGAGTTACAGCCCGTTATGGGGTCTCTGGACCTGATTCCATAAGGAGTTACAGCCCGTTATGGGGTCTCTGGACCTGTTTCCATAAGGAACAGGCTTTTTAGTTGTGGAATGACTGCCACAAAGCAGTCAGACACCACGCTGGATGGAACAGCATCTTCTGTGCTGATGAAAGGCACCAGTCCACCCTGGGGTCCTGACACCCCACACAAATAGCCCAGGACTTCAGTGTGCTCTTCCTCGGGGTGCTCAGTGCTATGTGAGAAACAGACACTTAAGCATTTCCAAGTCACCAGGAAACCTCACGTTCCCTCTTCAGCCCGTTAGCACAGTGCCCTGCTCCATGCCACCTGCCTCCCTTAGCCTTACTCCGGAGCACTGTTCCCATGGGGAGGACTGTCTCCATCACCCATGAACCCTTCTTGTGAGAGTCTGTCAGCAGCCTCAGTGCTGGTCATGATGGTGCCTTCAGGAAAACAGAATGATGCTGTTGGCAGTGATAAAAATGGGCGTATACTGTCTGGCAGGGAGGCATGGAGAAAGTCCTTGCATCCTCCAGTCAGGGAGAGGAGGATGATGATGTGTTGCTCCCAGGGAGCTGCAGAAAGTGCACGGAGGCACATGCCAGTATGAGGTGCTGGGTCCAAAAAGTCAGTATGTCCTGATGGCCCTGGGAAGAGGCAGTCAGTCTATGGTGGCCACTGAGCAGAGAGTCGGCAACGGGACAAGAGGGAAACTGTCGCCGGGCTCCTCAGACCTGCTGTGCTTGTCCCAGGGCATGGCAGTGCTCACCTGAGAGTTGTTGCCAGCCCTGTGCTGGAGTGGCATCTCTCCTGCATGGCAGAAAGCCATTTGTAAGATCTAGAGCCACCTACCTGGCTTGTGGATGGAGGGACTCTCCTCCTAACACCCTCTACTCTCCTCTGTCGTTTGCTGCAGCACATGACACGAAGTCAGCAGATGGATGAGCTCCTGGACGTGCTGATTGAAAGCGGAGGTATGCACTGCTTCCCTGTTCCCCTCCAGAGCTTCCCCTCCAAGCCAGCACCAGTCTATGGGGCTCAGTGCCCTCCGTGCACCCCAGCAGAGCTGCCTGAGATGAGTACAGCTTTCATTTATCCTCCCTGTGCCAGCAGCCACTGAGATTGAATCCAAAAGCGTATTTGCCCTGCAGGAGCCTGTTCCTGCACGTGCAGACCTGGTGGGGTGGCCCAGGCTTGGTTACTGCCTGTGCAGCCTGCGCAGAAAGAAGGAACAGCAGGGTGGCAGCCCTGTGCACAGCCCTGCCAGCACCCTCCA